ACTCCCCGGGGCTCTACCATTAACTGTATAAGTCCTGCACTGATTTGCCTTACCAACATTCAAGATCTTGCATCTATCTAAATTAAACTCCATGAATTGGTAAGATTAGTGTTACTGGTATTTCCTTTCTGTTAAATCATCATAGAGAGTCAGGTAGCCATTACCTTCATAAATATCATGTAAATAATATATTTAGAACATTCAAATATGAAAAAACATGAAAGCTTAGCATTTTTTTTGTTCTTCTTTTGTTCTTTTTTGTTCTTGTGGAAGTTCCTTTTAAGAATCTGCAATATTCTTGGTGGAAAATATATATAGTTTGCATAAATATTTTAATATAATTTCCTCCACTTTTTTCTCTTTGCAACAGTATGGTGTTGACAACTTTGGTTTCTTTGGTTCAAATTAACAGAGGCACAATTACTCAACTGAAAAAGCATTTAATCCTGGTAAGCTTTTTCTTGCATTGATGGTTGTATATTAAATCTCAGTAAAGTAAGCTGGGTTTGTCTGGGTCCCTCACTCATTTATTGCACTTTATCAGATTGCTATACACTTAATACAATGAAAGAGATTCATAACTTCCAAATATATAATTGAAAGTGGCTGTAAAATAAAAAAAAAACGAGTTTGATGACAATGGATTATTCAAAAATTGATTTCAATTTGTTAAACAAGAGTAAATCTTAAAGAGGATTTTATTTCAAATTAGATAAGTTTTTTTAAACCATCAGACTGGAGTTAGGAATTATGTTTTACATCACATAGAATATACACCATACATTGTTGGACAGGGAAACATGAACATGGTATTACAATGAAAGTAGGAATTTGTGCACAGTATTAACGTAAAAAGCTGGTGTCTGTAATTGGAGGAGATCTAAATAAATAAAGAAAGTTGAAATGATACAAGTAAAAGTCCAGGCAAGCTCCTGGACTGAGGAGATACCCTGAGTAGGTGAAGTGGATGTAGGGGAATGAATGAATAAATAATCCAGTTGATTAAAGTGGCAGAGCTCCCTCAGCAAACAGTTAATATAAACAGAGTGAGCACAGGAGTTAATTATCTTCATTATATCTTGGACTTAAATTCCACTGACTGAACTTATCCAACATTATGATCAAATATAGAGATAACAAGGTGTAGAGCTGGATGAACACAGCAGGCCAAGCAGCATCAGAGGAGCAGGAAGGCTGACGTTTCGGGCCTAGACCCTTCTTCAGAATTAAAGATTCTCAGTGCGGGAGATTACAGAATCTTTATTTTCCATCATTCGATACATTCTTAAACCAGTGTGAAAACTGTTCAGAACAAGTTTGCATCAGTGACCCAACTATTGAAACATCTATCATTCCAAATTATGAAAATTACTTGGCAAAGGGTGAAAATAACGTAAATGGATCAAAGCCACTTGTTTGAAGCAAAACAGTGGAAATTTTCTTTTGTGTGCTGCACCAAATAATGTGTTAGCAGCCTTTCCTTCCCTCTTTTAACTCCATAGTTTATTGAAGATGCTTGGAGGTAGTAATGGTCTGCTGGTAAGGCCTCTTTATATGTAACAAGACTTCTCACATAAATGCAAAATATGAATAATTATGAACCATCTGTTTTATTAGACAGGAAAGGATAAACGATATTTGGTAAAAAAGCTATCTTCACATTCTCAACATCCACAACATGGTCCTTTTCGAGATAATTCTTCCGAAAGTGCCGAAAGTGACACTGTATCAACAGCTGGACTTGAAACTTTCAACAACAGAACTCTTTCAAGCAGAATATCTGATAATTCTCTGTTTCAAAAGAACTAACACAATTGAAAGAAGGACTAGTGTTGTTCAATATATCCTATTGTTAATGAAAATAATCTATAATATCTGATAGGCTCTTCACTGCCATACTGCTGAAAAAGGCCATCCCAGAATATGTGCATGGTTGGACATGTTCTTTTGAACTTGTGAAACTAATTTTACATGTAATAAATTCTGACAGCTGCAAATTGCAACTTTGTTCAAGAAAAGGGAGTAAATATTTGTAAATACAAAATGGTATTCTTGGATTAAACACATTGCAGTAAACAGAACATAAATTAATTTTATGAGACATAGTACAGTATTCTTGTTTTGCTGCCTGGAAAACTCACAAAAACAAAAACAAAGATGCTCAATGTACTGAGGTCTCGCAGAATATCATCAACAAGTTAACTGTTAAAATATAGTCTCTTCTCCGGATGCCTTATTTTGTACAACTTGCGTCAGCTGAATATGAAGATTTGAGTTTCAATTCCATGTTGGGTTCTATTTACTCTTCTCCAGTTCCAGTAGGATTTCCCTGTTTTGTATACATCAAAGGAAAACACCTGTACTTTTCTTCCCTAGATCTGGGGAAAAAATGCTGCGAAATTAATATTATTTTTATAGTATTGAGAGATTTAGCATAGAATGTTGAGTTGTTTCTCTTAAACATTTCTGAGCTGTGAAATCTGTGAAAGCTGTTAATGGACCATGATATAGTTCCAAGTCAGGATGGTGACTGACTTGGAGGGGAACCTGCAGGTGGTGGAGGTCCCATGTATCTGATGCTATTGTCCTTCTAGGTGGTAGTAGTCATGATTCTAGAAGGAGCCTTCGTGAGTTGCTGTGGTGTATCTTATAGATAGTACTCCATGCTGCTGCTGTGCATCAGTGGTAAAGGGTGTGAATTCTGAGGGTGGTAGAAGTAGTGCTAGTCAAGGAGCCTGCTTTATCCTGGATGGCTTTAAGGTTCCTGAAAGTTGCTGAATCTGCAATCATCCAGGCAATTAAAGAACATTCTATCACACTGCAGGCTTTTGTTTTGTGGATGGTGGACTGGCTTTGGGGAGTCAGGAAGTATGTTACTCGTGACAGAATTCCCAGCTACGGACCTGCTATAGGTGCAGTATTGATACAGCTGGTCCAGTTCAGTTTCCTGGGGGTTGGGGGGCGGTGGTGGGTGGATGTCATCAATGCCAATGACATTGAATGTTACAAACCGATGGTTGGATTCTCTCCTGTTGAGGTTGCCTGGTACTTGTGTGGAGTTTGCACATTCTCCCCATTTCTGCGCGAGTTTCCTCTGGGTGCTCTGATTTCCTCCCACAATCCAAAGATGTGCAGGTTAGGTGGATTGGCCATGCTAAATTGCCCATAATGGCCAGGGATGTGCAGGCTGGGTGGATTAGCCATGGGAAATGTGGGGTCACAGGGATAGGATGGGATGCTCTTTGGAGGGTCTGTACAGACTTGATGGGCCGAACGACCTCTATCTGCACTGTAAGGATTCTATGATTCAGATTCTATGATTCTTGTGTGGCTTGCATGGTACTTACTAGCCCAAACCCTGTATGTTTGTCCAAGTCTTGCTGCATTCGGACATGAACTGCTTCTGTAATTGAGGAGTCCCGGACGGTGCTGCACATTGTGCAATCATCAGCAAACATCTCCACTTATGACCATATGATGGAGGGAAGGTCAACTTGCTCTATCTGCATACTAAGTTTTTGTTCTGCAATTCATGTACCAGGCACACCTAGATCTCTCAGAAACTCACAATTCTGTATCCTCTGTCTGCATTCTAATGCCTCATAGATGCTATGAGGAATGCTTCATAGATACCATGAGCCCCCCAAAATAATCTCATCAATTCAAGCATTCCTTAAACGAATGAAGATGTGGAGGTGCCGGTGTTGGACTGGGATGGACAAGGTCAGAAATCACACAACACCAGGTTACAGTGCAACCGGTTTATTTGAAAACTCAAGCTTTCAGAGCGTCGCTCCTTCTTCAGGTGTTCGTGAGAGAGGTAGTATCAGACACAGAATTTATAAGTAAAAGATCAAAGGTTCACACCACTGATGAGGATGTACTAAACAAACCTAAGATGCTGTTAAATCTTTAATCAGTTCGAAGGTTTTAATTGATTAATATGTATATGTAAATCCCCGAATTCCTTTCGACTCATGGTCCTGAGAGAACTAAAAGTTTTATCATTGTACAGAAGAGATGACATTTTAGGTGAGACGATGCATGTTAGGTGTGGGGCCTTGTTTAGAATCTGTTTGTGTTTTAGTTTGAAGTAAGGCTGGTTTTATTTCTAAAGTAGGAATTTATAAAACGCAACATTGACCGTCTGCAAATTGTGTGCTTTTGAACAAAATAAAACATATCTGCAAATACAAACTCAACGTGTGTGTGTGTGAGATAGAGAGTGGGGGTGGAGTGTGTGTGTGTGTGTTGGAGGCGGGGGTTAGTGTGTGTGTGTGTGGAATCAAAGTAAACTGTATGTACAGACAAAACCTGAGAATTATTGGAATAGATAAGTTAATTAATACGTGTGTATTGTAGATAGGTAAAATAAATCCTGTGTACTATTACAGAAAGGTAAACTATTGTCACGGCTTATAAGAATTAATGTAAATGGGAGTAGTTTCAATTCCCACAGTGTAAAACTGATATCTAACATTTTCTTGCGCACTCTGTAGTTTCTCTTTCAGGTTTGTACGTTTGTTTGCAAGAAATAATTCGACTTATTTGTGGCAATTTCGAAACTACCGGCATTGCAGTCAAAATTGATCACATGTACCGCCCCGATTTTGATTCTGTTGAAATACTGAAACACCAGTTACCTCTCTCATCGGGGAAATCGAAACCTGGGAGCTCAGCTAATGCGGGGCAGGGCTCAGCTCCAAATCTCCACGTTTCCTCCTAACGCTGCAAGCTAAATGCAGATGAGAATAATTTACAAGGATAACTGTAAATAGTGAGGAGTAGAGATTTTTGTATATTCTGACCAAATAAATTGTTTCCCAGAAATGACATTTATGTGGTTTGTTTTAGTTTACAACGCTAATCATAATTTCGTGACGCTTCCTAGTAATCGCCCTGCCTTTTTGTGTGATGAAAGGTGAACGTGCTTTTTCTGTGGTCCATTCTGGCATCTGTCAAATAAAACACTCCAATCAGCTTCACTCAGACAAAAGGCACTGGGATCAGCTGCTTTGTACAAACACCCTGAGTGCCGAGTCTGAACTGATGCTACAGCTTCCAGCTACAATCAGGTCAGTGAGTTACATAAATGTAACGATTCCAGGTAATTGACACTTGGTGAGTACAATGTTGCTTCTTAAACAGAAATCGTAGTTGGAAGGAACTGGAGGGCTGGAGAACCGATAGAAACAGTAACAGGAGGTGACTGATTTGAGCCTATGTCCAGATTAAATAAACAAGTTTCTGAGGAAGCGTCATACTCGATTCGAAAAGTTAACCTCTCTCCGCAGATGTTACCAGACCTGCTGACTTTCTCCAGCACTGCCTGTTTTTATTCAGATTTCCAGCATCCGCAGAACTTTCGGTGCACTATCCGGAAGTCAGGATAACCAAGTGAGATGTTTGTACGCATGACAGAAATACTGAATACCGAAGGATATAGAATTCAGCATTATGTGGTTTCTTTCCCAGCTAACTTCCCATAGTCAGAAAGATGCAGCTAAGTACAGGTTTCTTGCTCAGGCTGGGGGAAGAAGGGAAATTGTAAAGATCAGTAACTAGATTTTCGTACTCATAATTCACACTCCTACAAAGGAGTATGGACACAAACTTAAACAGGTTACAGAAAAGAACAAAGTGCTGCAAGTACAGAATAGAGTAATAGAGTCATAGAGCTGTACAATGCGTAAACAGACCCTTCGGTCCAACTCATCCATGCTGACCCAATATCCTAAATGAATCTAATCCCATTTGCCAACATTTGGCCCATATCCCTCTAAACCCTTCCTATTCAGAAAAAAAATCCAGATGCCTTTTAAATGTTGTAATTGTACCAGCCCCCACCACTCCTTCTAGCAGCTCATTCCATACATACACCACCCTCTGCATTAAAAAGCTGCCCCTTAGGTCCCTTTTAAATCTTTCCCTTCTCACTTTAAACCTATGCCCTCTAGTTTTGGATTCATCCACCCCAGGGAAAAGACCTTGGCTTTTCACCCTATCCATGCCCCTCCTGATTTTATAAATATCTAAAAGGTCACCCCTCTGCTTCCAAGGGTCCAGGTAAAATAATTCAGAAGTCACATAATACCAGGTTATGGTACAACAGATTTATTTTACTCACCATCTAACACTGTTGGTCACCTGTAGAGAATTACTATCTGACACTCCACTCACACTGGTTGTATGATCTTTTGATCTCTCTGCCCTTGATTTCTCTGCCTGTAAACTCTGTGCTGTGTGCTGTTCTCTCTCACTGCACCTGTCAAAGGGGCTGTGTTCCGAAAGCTTGTGATTTCAAATGAACCTGTTGGACTATAACCTGGTGTCGTGTGACTTCTGACTTTGTCCACCCCAGTCCAACAACAGCACCTCCACACCTGAGAAAATAGCCTCAGCCTGTCCAGCTTCTCCCTATAGTTCAAACCCTCCAACCCTGGCAACGTTCTTGTCAATCTTTTCTGAACTCTTTCAAGTCTCACAGCATCCTTCTTATAGCAGGGAGACCAGAATTGTACACAGTATTCCACAACTGGCCTACCCAATGTCCTGTACAGCCACAACAATTCCTCCCAATTCCTATGTTCAATGCACTGATCAATAAAGGCAAGCGTACCAAACACCTTCACTCTCCTGTCTACCTGGGACTCCACTTTAAAGGAACTATGAACCTGCACTCTGAAAGAGAAACATTTCATATTCATTATAACTTCTTCAGAACTGATATTGAGCAGTGCAAAAGAACCATATGTGACTCTAAACATAAACTCTGATTATCTCTCCAAAATGCTGCCTATTTTTTAACGCTATGTTTATTTCAATTTTTCAGCATCTGCAGCATTTTGCACTTAGTTCAGTCTTTTAGAACAAAATGCATGCCTATCCTGTTGATTGGCGCATATTATTTGGTGCATAATCTAATTAAAACTGGAAAAAAAGATCAATGACACAAGTTACATTCAGATCTCTGGTAAGAATTGGCATGTTTGTGATATTGAGCGACCCTAATTTCACTTGAATGCACATAGAATGGTCCTATGCAGAGAATTGCGATTTTCCAATAAATCAACATTCAGGATCAACAGGAACTGGCACTCCAGTAGCAAGAAAAGTAAGGATTTCTTAAAGTTTACTTTCACTTTCATTTTCTGTGCCAGTATTAAACTTCCATTTTTAATCATTCAGGAGTCATTGAACCATTTAAAAAAAAGTCAACCAGTGCCACTTTTTTCATTTAGAAAAAGCAAAAATGTTACTGAAGCTGTAAATCTGAAATTATAACAGAAAATACTGAAAATACTCAAGAGATCAGGCAGTATCTCTGAAGAGGAAAACAAAGTTAATATATCTCATAATGTTTCAGGTCTGTTAACCCATCTTCAGAACAGTTCTGAAGATGGGTCACTGGACCCAAAAAGTTGACTCGGCTTTCTCTCCACAGATGCCTAGAGACCTGCTGAGTTTCTCCAGCAATTTCAGTTTTAGTTTTAGATTTCCAGCATCTACAGTTCTTTGATTCTTTTTCCTTTCTGCTCATGACTTTTCTTCCGAACTGGGAAATGTTGGAGATATAACAGGAAGAAAACCACGGAAAGTCTTTGACAGGATGAAGAATGGCAGAAGGGATGGCAGTACATGACAAAAGGAGAGGGTGACAGGACAAACAAAATCCAAGTATAAACGAGAGTAGCAGAGAATTCACTTGCAGCTGCTGTCTGAGAAAATGGAGCCCTAAGTGACAATCTGAAATTGTTGAAGGTATCAATTCTGGGAGGCTGCAAAATACCTTATTGAAAGGAGAGTGGCTGTTCCATAAGTTTATGCTGAACACCATTGGGACTGTGCAAGATAGTTGGAAACAGAGGTCAAAGTAGAGTGGGGAAGAGAATTATAGAGGGAAAAATGCAAGTACTGGTCATGCTAAAACATCATTTTGAAGGATACAAGATGAGTTGAACCAGTGTGTCAGTTTTACTGGATTTTCCCTTGGGAGTAAATGATAGGGTTGGGGTGATGTCTGCAGAAAGGACAGAGGTATTTGACACAGCAGTCTCCCAAAATGGGTTTGATCTCTCCTGGAGGAGACCTCATCAGCAGCAAATGCAATATAGCAAATTGAAAGAAGTACACATGAATTACTGCTTCACCTGGAAGCAATGTTGCGGGCCCTGGATTGTGAAAACTGCTAAGTTATTAGTTGAGGCTTTACATTTCCTGTACTTGCACGGGAATGTGCTGTGGGAAGGGAATGGGATGATGGGAGTGACAGAAAAGCTTTCTTTGGAATACTGAAATGGGGAGGGGAGGGGATGTTGTGTTTAGTGGTAATATCATGCTGGATGTGAGAGAATGGCAAAGGATGATCTGTTGAATATGGAGGTTGGTGGAATTAAAGTTGAGGACAGAGGAAAAATCTTTATGTGAATATGGAAGGGAGATGCTAGTGGGGAAATGAAAAGGTTTTGGCCTCTATCAATTGCGATGGAATAAAATCCTCATCTGACACAAAAGGAGAACATTTCAGACACACGGGTGTGGCGAAGGAGAAGTGGTTAGTAAGTTTGCAGATGACACCAAGACTGGTGGTGTAGAGGACAGGAAGAAGGTTACCTCAGTGTACAATGGGACCTCGATCAGATGGGCTGATGGGCTGAGGAGTGGCAGATGGAGTTTAATTTAGATAAATGTGAGGTGTTGCGTTTTGGTAAGGCAAAGAAGGGCACAACTTATACTCTTAGTGGTAAGGTCCTGGAGCGTGTTGCTGAACAAAGAGGCCTTGGAGTGCCGGTTCATAGTTCATTGAAAGTGGAGACACAGGTAGACAGGGTAGTGAAGAAGGCGTTTAGTACACTTGCCTTTATTGGTCAGTGCTTTGAGTATAGGGGTTGGGAAGTCATGCAGTAGCTGTACAGGGAATTGGTTAGGCCACTTTTGTATACAGCGTTCAATTCTGGTCTCCCTGCTAGAGGAAAGTTGTTAAATTCGAAACGGTTCAGAAAAGATTTCGAAGGATGTTGCCAGGGTTGGAGGGTTTGAGCTACAGGAAGACGCTGAAAAGGCAGGGGCTATTTTCCCTGGAGCGTCCGAGGCTGTGGGGTGACCTTATAGAAGTATATAAAACCATGAGGGGCATGGATAGGGTGAATAGTCAAGGTCCTTTCCCCAGGGTGGGGGAGTCCAAAACTTGAGGGCATAGGTTTAAGGTGAGAGGAGAAAAATTTGAAAGGGACTTAAGGGATACTGTTTTCATACAGAGGGTGGTGTGTGTATGGAATGAACTGTTGGAGAAAGTGGTGGAGGCTGGTACAAATACAACATTTGAAAGGCATCTGGATGGTTATGTGAATAGGAAGGGTTTAGATGGATAGAGGCCAAATGCTAGCAAATGGGATTAGATTAATTTCGAATATCTGATTGGCATGGACAAGTTGGACCAAAAAGTCTGTTTCCATGCTATGTATCTCTATGACTCTATGATTCTAAGTGGCATTGCCAGAACAGATACAATAGAAATGGAGAATCTAGCAGAATGGACTAAAGTCTTTGTGAGAAATGGCGTGGGAGGAAATGTCATCAAATTCAAGGTAACTCTGAAAGCAAGTGGGCTTAAAGTTGAAGCTGATTTGACAGCAGTCTGAACCAGAATGATTGGAACCCTGGTATCATATCTGACCAAGATGAGTTTCCAACTAGTGTGATATCATTAACTCACATTCTACAACCATTTCCATCTCCTTGTACTACTTCCAGGCTGGTATGGATAGATTTTTAATCAGTAAAGGAATCTTGTGTTATGGGGGAAAGGCAGAAAAGTGGAATTGAGAATTATCAGGTCAAACATGAACTGATTGAACGGTGGAGCAGATTCAATGGGCTGAGTAACCTATGCCTGCTCCTGCATCTTATGATCTTATACCCAACTCAACTCCTGCCTCAATTCATTTGCTGCTGAAACCCTTACCCATGGCTTTATTAGATCTAGAATTAACTAATTGACTTACTTCTGGTGGCCTTCCACATTTAAACATCTGTCAACTTGACATAATCAAAAACTCACGCCAAGTCCAATTCTCCCATCACTCCTGTGTCAATGAATTCCATTGGTTCTCTGTTCAAGCATTGCCTTCATTTTAAAGTTCTCATTCTTGTTTTCAAATCCCTGCATATCCTTGCACCCCCCCACCCCCCATCACTCCAATTTCCTATACTCCTACTGTCATTGTGGTGTTTGCACCATCTAATTCTGGCCTTTTCAGCATGCCCAATTTCGACCATTCTACCATTGATGACTGTGCCTTTCAGTTACCTGGGCCATAAGCTTTGGAATTCTCCCCTGGAGCCATGCTAACCTCTTTCAGGGCACATTTTAAAAACAACCTCTTTGCCTAAGTTTTAGGTAACCATCTCATTGTAACCTTCAGTAACTGATTGTTGTATCCTACTTTGTAACATCCCCATGAGGCACTTTTTTCACTTTAAAGGTAGCATTTACAAGTTGTTGTAGCTAGTAATTAAGTGCAAGTTTTCCTATTGGTTCTCATATTGCCTAACAGAACTGTAAATAGCTATTACAACATCAGTTATTTGGAAAATCATTAACATATATTGAATGGATTTCTGAACAAGCACATTTAAATGCTGAAATCATCCTAAACTCTCTCATGTAAACCAGCAGTAAGCTGTGAGGGAACGTTCGTTTTGGTATTTCGTTTGACCCTTGAGGGACCCTATGCAGTACTGCCCACTGCTTACTGAAATTCCCAGCTACTAAATGCCAATGAGTGAATCACACAGTGTAATTGGATAACTTAATTAAGGCTGCAAATTCTCAAATTCAGAACATTTGTTTACTTGCATCATGAAACTGACTTAGCACCTTTATAGAAAGATCCTGTGATTTTCCATTTATGTGCAAGTCATCACAATCCGATGGGGACTTGCTCCTTCATTAGAGCAAGAGATGACTGATGGGTGAGTTTAATCTGAGAGTCACCACAGCGGTGGATGTTGAGTTGGTAAAGTGGTCCTGGAACCAGTTCCTAGTATTGATGATGTTTCCTCCGGGTGCTCCGGTTTCCTCCCTCAGTCGAAAGATGTGCAGGCTAGGTGGATTGGCCATGCTAAATTGCCCGTAGTGTCCAGGGATGTGTAGATTAGGTGGGTTATAGGGGAATGTGTCTGGGTGGGATGCTCTGAGGGTTGGTGTGGACTTGTTGGGCCGAAGGGCCTGTTTCCACACTGTAGGGATTCTATTCCCTAACCCTTTTGCAATAGTTCAAAGTTAGAGTTACATGCAATATTAGGTGTTTTCTAAATGCAAATAATTGATAATATAAATGTTATGCTGGCACAAGGGTAGGGAATATAACATTTACTCTTCCTTGAAAAGGAATGATTAGCTTTGGTTGAACTTAACTTGATCAGAGTCAAGCCATGTTTGGATTAAAATCAATAAGCTGGTAAGAAAAGAAATGTTGCCAAACTCAAATTAGTTCTGCATAAATTGTTTTAAAATGAATTACTTTTTTTACATTCATGTTAATTGCAGGCTATGATATCTATTCAAATATTATTTCAGTAAAAGTTTTAGATTTTGAGATTGAAATGGAAGGCAACATTGTGTAACCTGAGATGACACAGAAATTCCAGGAAACCTCTGGATTGGAATCATCTGCATCACTCACCGATCACATTCCTCAACCCAGAACAGAGTCTGCATTGGCCATGTCTGAAACTGTAGACTCCAATTTCATTGATATGTCTGAAACTCTAAGCGAGTCTGAAGTTATCTCTGAGAACGTACCATCAGCTAATGGAGCGACAGCTTCTCTCTCATCTTCTGAAAGTTCCATTCAAGAAAGTTCCTGTCTTCTGGAATCTACAAAGAGTCCCAAGGTACAGTATCATCCTAGTTTTATATCCTTGTAAAAAGTGCACATTCCCCATTGGATTGTGGTCAGATAAGCGTTTCTCATATTGAATGCAAGAACAGTTTATGATTAACCTAGTTAATTCATCATTAAATATATTGCCATTCCTTCATTATCACTGGGTCAAAATCCTGTAACTCCCTCCCTAATGACATTGTGAGTCTACCTACAGTACGTGGACCACAGTGGTTCAAAAAGGCAGCTTACAATCACCTCAAGGGTGAGTAGGGATGGGCAATAAATGCTGGCCTCGCCAGTGACACCACAGTCCCACAAATGAATAAAAGATGAATTGTTCAATCTGCTGAACTGACCTGTGGGGTAGAGGCATTGGGGATGGATGATGTGCCAAAATCTGCAGAGAAATAATTGAGTGACATGATACGGTTAGAGTGGATGTTATTTAGGACTCTTAGTTTGACTTTGTAAAAGTTGAAACAGAGGAACAAATCTAATTAATGAGATTCCAACATGGAGTTGAAGGAAGTTTGCCATGGAATTAGTAGGTGACAGAACATTGAAGGATTTTGTGGAGGAATAAGAGTTTGGAAATTGAGCGATCATTGGACGGTCTTCAGGGTTGGACTTGTGTTTTGAGAAGAGGTTTGATGATAGTGGCTTAGGAAGAGTATATTTGAGGGAGAATTCTTTGTCATAGTTAATCAGTTATGGGGACATACAAAGTGAAGTTGGATTATAAACTGATTAATGGGAAGTAGGATGTGAACAAACTGAGCTCAGATAGAGCATGATTATTTTTATTTATGTAACTGATGCCAGTGGGCATGAATAGGAACGGTGCAGTTAACGTCCATGTCCCTTGTTAGAGAGCAGATGATCAGTCAAAATTCCTCATCAAGATTGAAGTCTCTAGAAACCACACATTTGAGTGAGGATGATATCGATTTTTTTTTTGGGGCACCATATGTTGAATAACTTGTTAACAAGTGAGGCACTTGACAGTGACAAACTCTTCAGTACCAAATCTCAACAAGAGAGGAGCAGAGAAACCTGGGAGGGAAATAAAACACCAGAGTGAGGAGACCTCTTTGCAATTTGCAGGAAGATTTTACTCCCTTCCACGTGAATAGAAAGTTACAATTGAAGTGGTTATATTGTACTTCAAGTAGCACAACCTTCATGGTTTATAAGAGATAATGTTACAAATCTCAATTTCCACCAGGTATCGCTACCCAATGAAGTGAACAAGAAATTCCAAGAAACTCCTCCAAAATCGACAACAGCAAATGATCATCTAGATTCAGTCTCATTAGAACCTGCATCAAAAATGCTTACAATTCTACACCTGGGTGACATTGATGTGTCTGAAATTGCAAATGACAATATATCTAACTTAATGTCAAGCATTGATGATGCATCAGCTTCTACAGAAAGACTTTCTCCTTCACTTCCTCAAAATGAAACAGAAGGAAGAATGGACCTACAAGAATCTACAGGAAAGAGTACTAAGGTACGTTTGATATCACTGACAGCCTAATTTTTTGATTTGTGATTATTTGCATATCTTGTGAGTACAGTTATGAGGAAAAAGAAATGTTTACAAAGAATTTCTGGTGATCTGAATGTAACAGGATTTACAATGTTTTGTCAAGTCTCTTTTTGAAAAACCAATCAGTGTTACAATGTTTAAGGTAGATTGACAATTTGGAAGTTTTAGTGTTTAGAGTACCTTCTATATTATTTGTTTTAATTTAGCTTTTAGTCAAAATTGAGGTGTTTTCCTCAGTCCTGTGCTTCGTAATGAAGCCTGGCTCCAAGTTGCCAATTAGAATTTGTTAGGTTTATTGACCTAGTAACCATGCAGTTAAGGTGAACTGTTAAGCTTGTTCTATGTTAAGCTTGGACTACAAAATGGACTACAAGTACTGGGAACCCAGATATTTGTTCATCTGTCTTCCGTGCAATGATTCCTATTATTGTGTCTTTCTTTATTGATTATTGTTGGGTCTAACTTCAAAGCCCTTAGATATTTTCAAACATCCTTTAGCATGAAAGTTAAACCATATGGATGCATTTTCCACCTGACATGGTACCAGAACAAGTCTGATTATTTCTCCAAAATGTCTCATTACTATAAGACCCTGTAAGGTGTGTATTCTTAAATCTGTACTTTTTAAATTGATCAGTTATGATTCAATTGACATTTGATTGTTGTGCTATGCTTTCTTTCTTTGTCTTTTTGCTTCTTTACGTTATTCTATAAATAAATATGATGAAGAATCTTAAATCTATAGCATTGAGTTGGGAGCGTGCAACTTTCCACCTTTTGGAAGTCTAATGAGACATATTCTGCAATGATCTACATCAGCACCAGTTGTTAAATTGGGGATTGTAATCCAAAACATATATAGACACATTTTCACATTTCATAAAGCTAATAAAGACTGTCTTTTGCCTATGTTCAAAGCAAGTTTATTCTGAAACTGAAATTTAAAGTATGAATTTTACGCTGAGACTTAGTGGCTGATTAGATATTTTCTGTGATGCAGGGAAACCAAAAACAGAATAGGAAGAAGAATGGAAACAATCAAGCCCCCACTTTACCAGAGAAAGCTGGAAATGTGCCTCATTTCCCTGAGGAAAAATCATCTGCACATTCCACTCCAGCGGTGTCTGCAAATCAGCAGAAGAAATTGAACATTGTCACAGCAATGAAAGGAGGTGAAACTTTACATAAAGATCAAGGAACTGTTGATGCTGGAAATCAGAAACCAAGACAGAAATTGTATGAAAAGCTCAGCAGGTCTGGTAGCACCTGTAGAGAGAAAGCAAACTCAATGCTTCAGGTCCGGTGACCCTTTTGCAGAATGTTCTGAGGAAGGGTCTCCCGGCCCCAAAATCTTAACACTGCTTTCTCTTCATAGGTGCTGCAGGCCTGCTTAGTTTTAATAGCAATTTCTGTTTTTCCCTCTGGAACTTTACATTCCCGCTCAGAGAAATGCAAGGAATTGTGAAATTTACAACAGAAGAGCATAGCCACTCACATGATGTTTTGATAATATAACGTAAACTTTCCGCTAATTACTTCTTACAAAATACTGGAATGATTAAGGGAGAACTGCTGTTTCTAATATACATGTGTGGCCTGGATTCATTCTTCTAGTTCTTGGAAGAACAGGTAGATGCAGTTAGCAGTTATTCATTATTCTATATAACACTTAGTCATCCTTTGATAAATTGGAGCCTGCTATCCCATGGCCAGCTTTTACAAGTAAATAAGTTTTAGGTCATAAGTTAACCCCAACTAGAACAATTTTAGGGTGAGCAGACTTTTCCTATATTCTATTTCCCATTGGATTCATCAATTGTGATGAATGTTCCAGACCTACTGATGGAACAGAATTTACTCAACACCCAGAATGCATGTAACGAGCATTGCGTTAAGCATTCAGACCACTGTGATCTAGGCTGGGAAGATTGATAGATCGGAGGGTAAAACCAGAAGCTGAACTTAATGATTATGACTTTTTATGTATTACTACAGAAGATAAAAAAGACTCATCTCTCCAAAAAAATGCTGTCAGCAATACTGAGGGTGTGCAGAGTAAAGGAAAGAAGAAGGTGAGTATTGAACAAGAATGACAAGACATTTTGTTCCGGAGTCAAAGGCCTAAATAACATTGTACAATATAACTCACAAGTGATTTGAAATCCTTCTCTTGCGGCTATTTTAACGGAGGTGTTGTTTTGTCTTAACAAATTAAGATTGCTAGAAAAATCATATGAATGTGTTAAATATTTGATTGTGTTATTATTCCACAGATTAATTTCAGGTCCAATATCTTTTACAAATAGAATAAACAACTCATTTATATTGTTAACAATATCATTTTTTTGTCTGTAAGTATATCTAAAGAAAGTTACTACAGTATTGCAGTAAAAAGAGTAATGTTGCCAAAGTTTATTTTATCTCACAATTATCAGGACAAACAGAAGAATGCAACGTCTCAAACAATCACAGAGGATGATGTTACAGGAGAAAAGAGGACTGACTGTTGGGCAAATTGACTTCAGTTGGCTAAAGTGTTGCCATGGCGAAAGAAACTGGAATCCACAAGTTTCCCAGTCAATTCCACATTGCTTTGTCCATGGCAATGCATCAGTCATTTAGATGCATCAGTGTTAACCCTTAGTCAACTTGTTTGTGTTAGGAGATTAGGCATCAGGTTAAGTGCCACACATCAAAATATCATGCACCTTCATAATGAGACAATTTCTAAGACAGGATTCAACTAGTTTACAAAAATGCCACCTTGTACTAAACACAATTTTGGCAGCATCTCAGCTCTAGATGTCACCTTGGCCAGTAATAAGGTTCTTCACATAAAGTATTTGGTGAAAATTGTCTCCTTTACTTTTTACGTTGCAGTTAAATTTATGGCAAAACTGTTTCACACTAATGCTTTACCTTACGGTTGTAAAGAATACTTCTGCTTTTGGACCATGGACTAATCCCACGGGGAAAAATACTGCTTAGAACCAAGGAAACTGTGGAAGATTTAGTTAAGTTTTACAAATGGGTTACTGGAACTCATTGTGAATTGAATCCACAATGTTGCCCTGTTCAAGCAGTGGGGGTCAACACTGGACACATTGGCTCTGTGTATGTGTGTTCAGGGCAGGTTTGCTTAGAGATAATCTTTTTTCTAATCAACTTGTTTAGAGATGTTGTTACACACCCCTGGAGAAGGCCGGTCTTGAACCTGGGCCTCCCAGTCCAGGGATAGGATAGTGCACCACAAGAAGGTCTTCAGAGCCAGTCTTCTGATTGACTAACCAATCAGAATCAGCTGTGTGTTCAGGGGTGCTCAGCACAGTAACAACCCCCTGATTGGTTCAAGTGCAAGTAGCTACAGCCTTGTATGTGGACACTACAGGAGAACCATCTAGCTCGCAAAGAGAAAGCTTCTTAATATATCTCTCCCCCTGCTGGGTGGAGAACTAATCAAAAATCTCCAAGTTGCTGTTCTCACTCATCATATCCCTGTAAATTGCTCTCTCTGCAAGTTGTTGGTTGAAAAGAAAACGTGGACAAAATATCTTCAGAGACTTCGAATGAGTGAATCTACAAACACTGAATGTCAGATTACGAACAGGTGTATCCATCACCTTGTGGCCTCACTAATGAGACAAAAGGAATCGGAAGGAACTGAGGGAAAATAACTCATTGTCACCTGTAATCCTGACTAGTGCCAGAACTGTGCTTTTTTACACCTTTCCCCACCTGTATTATTTGTGTTTTGTCTTGTTTCTGTGTGTCTATTGTACGTGTATGGGAATTTTAATAAAGAGTAGAGTTTAACTTGTAGAGTTAAAAGTTAGCAATTCCTGCTTCATTTTTGCTATTGGTTAAAAACTGACTGACTGCAATAAATAGTGATTTTCTTGCTAATGATAAAACAGTGGTGTATGTATCCTTTTAACCTGAGTTCAATAGTTAGGTGAAATTTGGCAGTTTGATGATTTAATCAAATTTCACATTTTGTGATGACTCCAGGAATAGTGGGACTTAATGTCTAGTGCACTACACCCGTGAGTCATAACACAGTACAAATGCATCAACAACACTGAACTGAGGACTTTTAAAAGTATTGGGTACAGTATTGCTGCTGCATTTTTGTTCAATCATATTGGTTCATTCATTAATGATGGTTCTTGGCCACTGACTTGTCTTGTACGGTCTCCTTTTATTTGTTTATATTCTGATTTTATAGTATCTAGCACTTTGAGAAAGGACCAGTAAACCACATTTCCTTAGCCTATTCTTTAAATAAGTCGAATGTCTGAAAACCTACATTCCAGACATAATGAAGCACCATGCCTAGCTTATCTGTTCAGTTTTCTGGAATAGATTATTCCTAAATGCTCAATGGGTTTTTTTCAACAGAAAAGGCGCAGAAACCGAAGTAGAAAGAAGTCAAAAATCTCGATACCTCAAACTGCTGCAGCAGACCCAAAAAAAGAATTGCCTGCCAGTGATTCAGCTGAGTCAACATGTGGAGAGCAAGCAGGTGGTGAGCATGGTCAAGATACCAGCCAGCCTGCTTACTCTGGTGAAGGTGAGACACTGACAGTTTAAAGATAAAACTGGATTGACCTACTGATTCCAAGCAAAATGAAAATGCATTATTTTACCACTGCATTAAAAACTTGACTGTGAAAGTTTGGGGCAAAATAAATTTTTCTTCTTCGTGGAGGCACAATGTGTTTATGTGTAAGACCACACTTTAACAAAGTTACATGTTGGTAAAAAGGACTTATTTGGTAGTGTAACAAACTGTGCAACTACAAATAGGACCTGAACCGCAACTTTCAGAACTATAGTGCGTTTTTTCCCATTTAAAAAAATATTGTGGAGGTTAGCATGTTCGGTAGTGACTAACCTGGCATCGGAGAGATCACCACCTCGCCTGCCAATCAGTTCATTAAAAATTTTGCTGAATTTCTCAACCAATCAGAGGACTGCAACTTCTGGGTCCTAAAGGCCTCCAGTCGAGCTTGTTGCTCAGAGGATACAATGGCAAGCAGAACTTTTTATACCCTTTCTGACGAGGTGTGGATCGTTGGGGAGTGGGTCGTCAGGAGGTTGGAGGAAAGTGCAGCCTTGTGGTTTTTAGAGGCCACTCCTTAGCCCCCCGTCGTCATTGTCTGTGTCTCTGATGGCCCCAGATGAAGGCAATTGGAGCTCCTACATACCCACAAAGCTTCTTGCCTTTATTTAGTTAATAAGTGAGATGAGTATCTCTTCAGGATCAACTTGCTCAATTATTTCCTCTGCTCACCATCTCCCAGGAAGGAGAAATTTAAGACAAGGACCCAGAGGCACAGCCTCAGGGTGAAGGGACGACCCTGTGGAACTGAGATGAGGAATTTCTTTGGCCAGAGGGTGGTTAATCTGTGGAACTCATTGCCGCAGATGGCTGTGGAGGCCAGGTCATTAAGTGTATTTAAGACAGAGATAGATAAGTTCTTGATTAGTAAAGGGATCAAGGTTACAGGGAGAGGGCAGGAGAATGAGGTTGAGAAATATGTCAGCCATGATCGAGTGATGGAGCAGACTCAATGGCCTAATTTTGCTCCTATATCTTATGCTGTTATAGTTAACATTATTGTAACCTGAGCCAAGCTGACATGAGATAGATGGCAAATTGATCTTTTGGAGTATTTATACTCTTTTCTTTGCATAAAATATTGCCATGATTTGCTAAATATTGGAGCTGTTGACTTTATAATATTCAAACCCAAGTTGTCTAACCTTTATATGTCTTTTCGAATATTGTGCCCTACACTTTATTTGTTTGTGTCCTCCAGGTGCCAGTGAAGCAACAGAAGATGTTGCTGAATCCAAGCTAACCTCAGAAGAAAAACAATCGGAATCTACTGAAGATGTGAAACAAGTTGATCCACAAAATGCAATCAAACAGCAAATTCCTTTCACAAAGAGTTCTCTGGGAGATGATGAATATATCAAAAGTAAATCAAAGGTACAGTCATGTTAATCTTTAAAATGTGCATCCCGTGTTTTGCCAATTTTCTTTCATCCCCTGAAGGCATTGACTTCTGCTTGGTGTCAGTCATCATTTTTTTTCCTTTATTCATTCACGGGATGAGGGTGTCACTGGCCAGGCAGCACTTATTGCCCATCCCTAATTGCCCAGAGGGCGGTTAAGAGTCAACCACATTGCTGTGGGTCTGGAGTCACATGTAGGCCAGACCAGGTCAGGATAGCGGTTTCCTTCCCTGAAGGACATTAGTGAACCAGATGGGATTTTCCCAACAATCAACAAAGGTCATCATTAGACTCTTAATTCCAGGTATTTTATCGAATTCAAATTCCACCATTTGCCATGGCAGGATTCAAACCCAGGTTCCCAGAACATTGTCTGAGTCTCTGGATTAACAGTCTAGTGATAATACCACGAGGCCATCACCTCCTCGCATATGTGCCTGACACAGGGTTTCGGCTTGAAATGTTGACTTTCCCGCTCCTCTGATGCTGTCTGACCTGCTACGCTTTTCCAGCCTCGCACCTATAGGCTCTGCTTCTAGCATCTGCAGTCCTTATCGACTCTATAATTATATGCATTCAGATATGGGTTATTGCCAGTGAGGCACCATTCTCAGTTTCTAATCGGAGCTGTTAGGACAGCTAGCATTGAGGGTATCTCTGGCTGACTATTTTTCCCACTCCTTATTGCAGGGCGCGGAGGCTAGGGTTACCTTCCCAGCAGCTGAGATCAATGAACTTTGCATATTCTAAGAATCAAGTGGCTTTAATATTGTACCAAACTACTCATCCAGCAGGGAGCTGGGCACATGTTGTATTACAGAGAGATAGAATCTCATATATAGGATTAAAATATGATATAAAATTATGAGAGAGACAGATAGAATGGATAGTCGGAGACTTTTTTTCTAGGGTGGAAATGTCAAGTACTAGGGGAATAGGCTTAAGGTGAGAGGACAAAAGTTTAAAGGAGATGTGAGTTTTTTACACAGAGGATGGTGGGCGCCTGGAACACGCTGCCAGGGGAGGTGGTAGAAGCCAATTCAATAGCAATGATTAAGAGGATTTAGAAAGAAGCATGAACAGGCAGGGATTAAAGGGATATGGACTATGTGCAGGCAGATAGGATTAGTTTAGAATGGCATCATGGTCAGCACAGACATGGCGGGCCGATGGGACTGTTCCTGTGCTGTATCGTTCTATGTTCTGTGTTATTTCCCATTGGATGTTTCAACTTCCTGGGAAATTCCCACTGATTCAGCAGCGTCAGTGCCAATGCACAGCTCCAGTCAATGCTGCTGCAATGAATGTCTTCCTAATGGAAGATCTGGTCATCAACTAAGCTCTGATCTGTCACCCACCAGTGTTCACCCATATCGTGTTCAGCAACAGGGGCTTTCCAAATTCAGTGCTGCGCCATATCTTCACAGTGCAATGCACAACTGGAAAGGCATGAATTCCATCATTCTTTAAGCGCTTATGGTGGCAACTTAACTGATTGGAAAACGTGAAAGGAGCATTGACATAGGTGAAATTAAGTTGCACCAATTTAAATTTAGAAAATTAGACTTTTATTAGTATTTTGGCACACACCAATGTATCCATTCAAATTCATGAGTAGCATATATTGATATTTAATAGGAGGATAAATTATAAAATTCTTCAATCTTTCAACATTATTTTGAATTTGGAATATGTCAGACATGTGACTAAATTATTTTAATTTTTTTTAAAAACAGAAGAAGAAAAGGATGATGAAGGAAGATGAAGAGAAAGATTCTGAAAAGAAAAGCAAACTGCAGCAGAATATGGACATGGTGGAGGATGAGCCTATGCCTGCTGCCACAGAGAAGGAGTTGGAGCTGGAGGTGGGATCTTCATCTCAGATCAGTAATGTGGACTCCAAGGATCCAAAGGAAAGTGGAGAAGTAAAACCTCAGTCAGAAGTGGATGTTAAAGGCGGAGCTGCTGGTGTTTCCCAGAGTGGTCAGGGCAAGAGTGATAAAGACACAGCCAAACCAAAATCTGCTAAAGATCAGTCAGCCAACTACAACACAGGCAGGAGTGACTCTGTACAAGTAAATCACAAAGCCACTCAACATAAGGTAATATATACACCAGTCTTTTCCACTTCAGGCACAGGTTTGTGTTTTGGTTAAAAATTGCAGGTGCCAGAAACTAAAAGAAACAAAATGATGGCCCCAGGAACTGGTTGACACAGTTCCCATTTCACAGGAAGAAAACAGCTGTCGAGGACTATGAAGGGAGTTAAAAGGAAGGAAAACTAAGGAGATATTGCTAATGGACTTGTCAGAATTCAAAAAGAAGGTATAAAAACTAGCATCAAGGCACTTAACCTGAATGCTCATAGCATTTGAAACAAGGTCGATGAGTTAACGGCACAGATAGATCATTGCGAATGAGTATGATTTAGTAGCCATTATGGAGACATGGTTGCAGGATGGTCACAACTGGGAACTAAATGTCTAGGGGTATCAGACTATTCGGAAGGACAGACAGGAAGGTAAGGGAGGTTGTGTAGCTCTGATATTTAAGGATGACATCAGGGCAGTGGTGAGAGATGATATAGGTTCTGTGGAGAATAAGGTTGAATCCATTTGGGTGAAAATTAGAAATTCTAAGAAAAAGTTACTGATAGGCGTACTCTATAGGCTGCCAAATAGTAACATCACATTGGAGCGGGTGATAAACAAAGAAATAACTAATGCCTGTAAAAATGTTATGGCAATTATCGTGAGGGATTTTGATCTACACGTTGATTGGTCGAACCAGGTTGGTCAAGGCAGTCTTGAGGAGGAGTTCATTGAATGTATCTGCGATAGTTTTCTTGAACAGCATGTAAAGGAACCGACGAGGAGCAAGCTATCCTAGATCTGGTCCTGTGTAATGAGTTAGGAATAGTTAATGATCTCAAAGTTAGGAATCCCTTTGTAAAGAGCGATCACAGGATGGTGGAATTTAGAATACAGATGGAAAGTGAGAAGATACAATCCAATACCAGGGTCCTGTGCTTAAACAAAGGAGACTAAAATATAATGAGGAAGGAATTGGCTAAAGTTGACTAGAAGCAAAGACTGTATGGTGGGACAGTTGAGGAACAGTGGAGGACTTTCAAAGCAATTTTTCAAAGTGTTCAACCAAAGGAAAGATTGTAGGAAAAGGGGTAATCAGCCATGAATGTCTAAGGAAATAAGGGAGGCTATCAAATTGGAAGATAAGGCATACAAAGGTGGCAAAGACCAGTGGGAACTAGGAGATTGGGAAAACTTTAAATGTCAACAGAAAGCCACAAAGAAAGCTATAAAGAAAAGTAAGATAGATTATGAGAGTAAACTAGCTCAGAATATAAAGACAGATAGCAAAATTTTCTATAAATATATAAAATGAAAAAGAGTGGCTAAGGTAAACATTGGTCCTTTAAAGGATGAGCAAGGGGATTTAATAATGAGAAATGAGGATATAGCCAAGGCATTGAACAGGTATTTTGTGTTGGTCTTCACAGTGGAGGACACAAGTAACGTACCAGTAATTGATGACAAGGACACTTAGGTAGGTGGGGACCTAGACATGATCATTATCATGGAAGAAGTAGTGTTGGGCAAGCTAATGGAGCTAAAGGTAGACCAGTCTCCTGGCTCTGATGGAATGCATCCTAGGGTACTAAAAGAGATGGTGGGAGTAATAGGAAATGCACTCGTGGTAATTTTCCAAAATTTCCTGGATTCTGGGGCAGTTCCTGCAGATTGGAAAGCAGCAAATGTGACATTACTGTTTAAAAATGGAATTAGACAAAAGATGGAGAAGTATAGGCCAGTTAGCTTAACTTCTGTAGTGGGGAAAATGCTTAGAAGAAATAGCAAGATATCTACATAGTAATTGTCGCATTGGGCAGATGTAGCATGGGTTCATGAGAGGCAGGACATGCTTAACTAATTTACTGGAATCCCATGAAGACATTATGAGCACGGTGGACAACAAGGACCCAGTAGATGTGGTATATCTGGATTTCCAAAAGGCATTTGACAAGGTACTACACAAAAGGCTGCTGCATAAGATAAAGGTGCACAGCATTATGGGCAATGTATTAGCATAGACAGAGGATTGGTTAACTAACAGGAAGCAAAGAGTGGGGATAAATGGGTGCTTTTCTGGTTGGCGATCAGCGACTAGTAGTGTGCCTCAGGAATCAGTGTTGGGACCGCAATTGTTTACAATGTACACAGATGATTTGGAGTTGGGACCACATGTAGTGTGTCAAAATTTGCGGGTGACACTACGATGGATGGTAGAGCAAAGTGTGCAGAGGACTCTGAAAGTTTGCAGAGGGATATAGATAGTTTAAGTGAGAGGGCAAAGGGCTGGCCGATGGAGTACAATATTGATGAATGTGAAGTCATCCATTTTGGTAAGAATAATAGTAAAAAGAACTATTATTTGAACAGTAAAAAATTGCAGCACGTGGCTCTGCAGAGGGACTTGGGTGTCTTTGAATCACAGAAAGTTGGTTTGCAGGTACAACAGGTAATTAAGAAGGCAAATGGAATTTTGTCCTTCATTGCTAGAGGGATCGAGTTTAAAAGCAGGGAGGTTATGTTGTAGCTGTATAGGGTGCTGGTGAGACCACACCTGGAGTACTGCATGCAGTTTTCTTCTCCTGAGTTGAAAAAGGATGTACTGGGTACTGGAGGGGGTGTAGAGGAGATTCTGTAGGTTGATTCCGGAGTTGAGAGAGTTGGCTTATGAGGAGAAGCTGAATAGACTGGGATTATATTCATTGGAATTTAGAAGAATGAGGGGGGATCTTACAGAAACATATAAAATTATGAAGGGAATAGATAAGATAGAAGCAGGGAGTTGGTTTCCATGTGCGGGTGAAACTAGAACAAGAGGGCATAGCTTCAAAATTAGGGGGACCAGATTTAGGACCAAATTGAGAAGCAACTTCTTCACCCAAAGGGTTATGAATTTGTGGAATTCCTTGCCCAGTGAAGCAGTTGAGGCATCCTCATTGAATGTTTTTAAAGCTAAGACAGATAATTTTTTGAACAGAAAGGGAATTATGGGTTATGGTGAGAGGGTGGGTAAGTGGAACTGAGGTGCTGAAGGATCAGCCATGATCTTATTGAATAGCAGACCGGGCTCAAGGGGCCAGATGGCCTACTCCTGCTCCGGTTCTTATGTTCTAAATGGTTCAATGAGGTGCAATCACACATTCAGTGCAACGTCCGCAATGTTGGTGAGGTCAGGAAAGTGGGCAAAACATGTGTTTGGTCCTTTATTTGAATACATACTAAGCTTAACTCCTATTTAAGGCTTTTTCCAAAACATTCGACTGCCTGGAGCAGAATAGGCACTCAGATACTTGGCATTTTCCCTGGTGTATGATGGCTGCCGCTAATTCCCAAATGAATATCCAAATGTGGCTTTCAGCAGTGCATCAGCTCATTAGTTTTCAGGCCTCATAGTTTTGGCGAGGAGCTTCAAACTTCAGAAGTCCTTACTGAAAATCAGGGAGGATGGTGTAAAGTTTGGAAAGTTGTAGTTGATGCATGTCTGAATTTCTGGTATTCCAATTGAGTATTGGGAAGACTAAAGCTTTTGTTTTTAGTCCCTACACTAAACTCCATTCCCCAGCTCTGCTGTACCATCATCCCACTCCCCAGCAATAGTCTGAGATTAAACCACTTTCTTTGCAAGCTGGGTGTCACAGTTGACATTTGGAGCCTCCATCCTCATTCATGAGAACCGAGTGCCAATTATTTCCACTTCTGTAATAATGCTGAATTTTTCCTTTGTTTCCTCCTGCTGAAATTTTCATCCATGCATTCATTGCCACATAAATTTGACTATTACAGCACACGTCCAGGTCTTCCACTTTCTACTTTACAAAATCTTGAGGCCGTTCCAAAATTCTGACCCCTAGATCTTGAGTCTTTTTTTATTCATTGGTGGGATGTGGGCATCGCTGGCTGACCAGCATTTATTGCCCATCCCTAGTTGGCCTTGAGAAGGTGGTGGGGAACAGCCTTCCTGAACCACTGCAGTCCACCTGCTGTAGGTTGACCCACAATGCCATTAGGGAGGGAATTCCAGGATGTTGGCCCAGAGTCAGTGAAGGAACGGTGATATATTTCCAAGTCAGGATAGTGAGTGGCTTGGAGGGGAACTTGAAGGTGTGGTGTTCCCATGTATCTGCTGCCTATGTCCTTCTAGATGGAAGTGGTTGTGGGTTTGGAAGGTGCTATGTAAGGATCTTTGGTGATTTGCGCCAAGTGCCATTTCCCTATTATCCCTTTGCTTGCTGATCTATATCGGCTCCCAGTCAAGTGAGGCCTTTAAAAAGTGCAGACTTGTTTTCAAAATTCTCCATGATCACACCACTGTTTACCTCTCGGTTCTTCCTTAGCCCCAAACTACTCAAATATCTGCACTCTGCCAATTCTGAAACAGAAACAGAAATTGCTGGCAAAACTCAGCAGGTCTGGCAGCATCTGTAGGGAGGAAGCAGAGTTAATGTTTCAAGCCCAGTGACATTCATTAGAACTGATAGCAGCAAGGAAATAGTGGTACTTTTAATGAAGATGAGGTTAAGGTTGGGGATGAGTGGTGGGAGTGGTGAGTAGATCGGTGAAGGTGGAGCCCAGAGAGAGAGAGATAATGAAAGGGTGGGTAAGTGAGGAGATTATAAATAGAAGGCCAAGACAGAACAGAAGCTGAATAGGTGAAAATGAGAGCTGAGTAGGAAAGAATGGGCAGGCTGTGCTGAAAGCAACCCATGTCATTAACAGGACTGGATAAAAAACATGGAAGGATGGAATCAGTCTGTAAAGTTATTGAACTCGATGTTGAATTCTAGAGGCTTCACGCTTCTCAAGTGAAAAATGAGGTGTTGTTCTTCGAGCTTATGCTGAGGCTCACTGGAACATTGCAGCAAGCCTGTGACAGAAATGTTGGTCAGGGAACATGGTGGTGTGTTGAAGTGGCAGGCAACTGGTACCAGAAATTTCAGAATTTCTGAAGAAGGGTCCCAACCTAAAATGTCAACTTTCCTGCTCCTCTGATGCTGCCTGGCCTGCTGTGTTCCTCCACCTCCACACTGTGTTATCTCAGTTTTATTTATAAAGATGATTATGAACAATTAAACCTCACTGCATCAGTTTACAAAGCAATATTATACGCTGAAATCAAGGGTATTTCAAATAAATCCGTTTTATGAATTTACAAAATAAATAGTACAGTAATGTTTTGTTATGAAATACTCAGTGCACTACTTTGTATTGATTCCATCACTTGTTCAGGTTACAATTTATTTCTGAACTTTAACATTGAAGGAAAGCTGATTTTTGTAAACTGTTTCCATAGGATGCAAATGAAACAGGCAATGATAACAAGAATGTTCCAGAATCAAATTCAACACACCAAGGTGGAAACCTATCTAATGATCAAAAGTGAGTGCAACATTTTCCTAACTATAAAAACTGAAAAAAAACTGTGGATGCTGTAAATCAGGAACAAAAACAGAAGTTGCCGGAAAAGCTCAGCAGGTCTGGCAGCATCTGTGGAGAAAAAGTCCTGTTCTGAGGAAGTGTCACCAGACCCAAAACATTAACTCTGATTTTTCTGCACAGATGCTGCCAGATGTGCTGAGCTTTTCCAGCAACTTCTGTGTCTGTGTTTATTTTCCTAACAATGCTTTTTTAAGGGGGACATGTAACATTATTGCATTCGTGTTATTGATAAATGAGAAGCTTCTAAATAAATGACAACAATGATTTGATTTGAAGAAAAGATGGAACATCTAGTTTTGGATTTAATAAGCAATTTCAAAGGGCTTCAATTTCTTTGTTCACAAGCTGTTGTCAAAATCAAGCTGCCAGGAGATCACAACTCCAGGAAAGGAGTTGGAAAATGTATTTCTGTTCTCTCATGGCAGTTTTTCAGATTTTATATTTTTGCCCTTCTTCATTGCTACGTTTATCTATAAATCACAAACACCTCTTGTGTCTGCCAGAGATGGAAATGGAGCAGAACAGAGTCCTACCAGAAATGCTATTGTTTTTCAGCCTACTGTATTCCATTTGCAGCTGTATAGTGTTTTGCATGTGTCTCACAAGTCCATTTTCTGCTCACTTTCCCCTAGCCTTCGTTGTTAATTGCAACACGCTGTTCTCTCCATTGCATTCCACGGTCCCTCTCTGCCACCCTCTACTCACTGCTGTCCCAGACTAAAGCCAATCTTGGATTGCCCAATGGCTTTACAGTGTTTGAACCTAAACATCTTCTGCTCGGATTGCTGCAGCACTTGTTCTTGATTTTCCTAAGGTAGTGCCAACTGATCATTCCCTCCTCCAACTCACCTCCCATCTTGGACTGGACCATTATTCTTCTCACAGCCCCTGTCTTTATTTGTATTCTGTACTGTTAACTCTGTGTGCAACCCACACTAAGTTCTCTACACAGGTTTTCCCTCTGGCAGATGAGCATACACACCAACCATGGAGGTTGGTTAGTTCAGTCAACTGGATGGTTTGTGATGCAAAGTGATACCAACACAGTAGGTCCAATTCCTGCACTGGCTGAAGATAAATGAAAGACTGTCCTTCTCGACCATTCCCTTGCCTGAGGCATGGTGACCCTCAAGTTAAACATCACCAGTCTCTCTAAGCAGTGAGCAGTCTGCTAAACTAGTAGACTATGGTGACCTTTACCTTGACACTTACACATTATTCTGGCTCAATTCATGGAAATCTCACACCTGACTAGAATCCAGTTCACTAACAGAGACTTCTTTTCTGTCAAGCATTCCTGTGTTTGGATGTCCATTGCCCTGTTAATACACACTAGTGATACAATGGTTTACATCTCTATAGTGCAACATAGTGGAAGATATCATGTCTGCTCTCCTAGTGGAATTTTGGGCATTGAATAGATCTGCAGAGCTGGCATCTGATGACATTTGCAAGTGGTTTGTTGCAGGCCTCAACAGTTGAAATTGGACATTATTGCACCTGTTTTCTGCTTGTGAAACACGGTGGCTCAGTGGTTAGCACCACTACCTCACAACACGAGAGACCTGGGTTCAATTCCACCCATGGGTGACTGTCTGTTTGGAGCTTACACATCCTCTCTGTGCTGGTGTGGGTCTTCTCCCCTGACCAAAGATGTGCAGATAGGTGGATTGGCTATGGGAAATGCAGGGTTACAGGGCTAGGATAGGGGGTTGGAGAGCTGGTGTGGTCTGCTTCCACACTGTAGGGATCCTGTGAAAACAGGCACAAGGAGCAGCACAAATGTCCTGAAACCCAAGGAGCCAGAAATTACACTCAGTTTTTTTTTCTACAGCAGCTGTTTTAACCAGATATTATGTCCCTTTGTGTGTGTGCTAATGTGGGATCTAATGTCTGTTCAAGCAATTTCCTCAGGGAGTTTGAGCCGCCCAAGAGCCTAGCAGATTAACAAAAACCTGTTCTGTTGCAAGTTAGAGGTGGCATCCCAAGAAGTTGCCACTAGAAAGATAGTTTTCTTTTAAATAACATTTGGCACAGAACTAATGGCCACATGAGTGTTCCATTTTGCTCCATCGTATTCACTAGGGCTATCCAGCTTTTTTATACTCCATTGCCGCTAACATTCCAACATTTATTTTATGAAATGGCTACATGCCTATTTCAGACCCAAAACTGACCTTTCGGAGCCATCCCCCTACGTCTTTGTCTTTCTTTATTCCAGCTTTCCTTTACGCAAATCTGTCTGGTTGTCTGCTACTCAGATGTTTCATCTCTCCATCTTTGCAACATCTATTGTGTTTTGTCTCTCTCCTCATCCCTTGCATATACATCACTTACTATTTTGTCAAGTGGAAAGTTTTGAAATGAATCCAAGGAAAATGTTTCAGCTCATGTTTTATTCGACTATTATTGTGTCAGTAAGAGCTGCCTACTGAGAAAAATACATTACTGGCTTTGACCAAATATTAATAACAGAAAGACACCAGAACTGTGTTATTTGCAGTTAAGGAGAAATAATTTGATTCACCAGTGGATATTTAAATTCCAGCTATTACCTAAAAGCTCTAATGAACAAGAAGCAGAAAATATAAGTTAAGAAAAAGCATTACTATAGGGGAATTGGTGTACATTGCAGAGTTCAGCAATTTTCTGAGTAATTGTTTGCCTTTGGTTAAAATATCAACTTTAAGCCTAGACATTGGAGCAAATCTGATGCTTTTAAAAAAAAAGCAAATTATGAAATAAAAATAATATTTAAGGTTTTCAAAGATGTTAGTTTTCTAATAAACATAATTAAGTCATTAACTTTCAACGATCTGAAACTGGCAGAAATGTCAGTTTCTAAACAGGAGTAACAATCTGTGTTGAAATGACATCCTAGCTCGTCTCCCAGAAAAATCTTGATATCTTTCACACGTAATGAGTGACTGTCAAGTGCACTATCTAATCCTGTGTAGGCAAACATGGTAGCAACTTTATTACTGCAAGACCAAACAATGAAATTTATGTTCAACTTAATGCTTTTTGGTTGAGGTAAGAATGGTGACAAGGAGAGTATTTTGATTCTTTATTAGTATCACCTAATCTTTAACAATATGATTAATAAGTATTCTGGAGTCTTCAACACAAATCAGTACTGCTAACTCTCCATTTTCTCATTAGCTTTGATTATACCTGAATTTATATCAGGAAAAGAATGAAACCCATTGGATATTGCTGTATAATAGACAGAATTGTAGGGTCTTGTGCCACTGTGGTAGTGTCCCTACCTCTACACCATGAAGGTTGAGTTCAAGTCCCACCTGTTCCAGAGTTGTGCCATCCTCATCTGAACATGGTGATTAAAATATCAATAAATAGAGCCACGGAGTATATTTCCAGTTGTTAATCAAACATTTAATTCTTCTGTTTTTCCTTATTATAGGCAACCAGCAGCTTGTTGCAATCAACCTCCACCAGGCATGCTCACTGTCTATTTCTATGCAATAATTCCACATGAAATTAAATTTAATCAGATACATGATAAGTTGTTTTTACTTTTTGAAAATGGAAGGAGAATACTTGAAGTCATATCTATCCGGTAAGGTGAACATAAATGTACTGTATACTCAATGAATCACATTCTCTACTTTGTTGGATTCTTAGAATTTAATTGATTAGGCAGAATGTTATGATCAAAACTTGGAGTAAAGCATCTCTTCACTTGTCTATTTAGTATTGGATAGGATTTTCATGGGGCAATGTTTACTTGAATAAAACTCACACCCACTCTGGAAACTTGTAACTAACTGTTTAGACATGTCATTGAAAAATGCCTAGAGCAAAAGGATGTGAACCCAGGCCTTCTGGATCAAAGGTATGGGCATCGCCAGTATGTCACAAAAGCAAGATACTGACTTATCTTGTAAGTATATTGAATGAACTAGTTTAGACATGTTGTGACACATTTATAGCACACTACCACTCTGTCACAAGACCCCTTTATACCGCTTTTAGATATTTTCTGATCAACCTGTTCAGAGATGTAATGACACACCTCTCGCGCATGTGGGATTTAAACCCAGGCCACCTGGTCCAGAGGTAGGGACATTACCCCTGCACCACAGCAGCCCTTCTTCACACCCCATTTTATGATTATCTCAATTGCTGTTCGAGCCAAATGATATTATTTGTGCAAAGGAGCAATTGACAGCTCGTGCTAACTATTCATTGGTATAAAATGTCTTCAGGGGTCTTGTGGTGCAGTATTGTCCCTACCTCTGAGTTAGGAGGCCCAGTTCATTGTCCCAGCTGCTGCAGGGATGTTTAATAATATACCTGAATGTGGTTGATTAGTAAAATTTCTATGATGCTCTCAAGAATGGTTGAGTTAAAGTTCTAAATTGGAGGAAGGCCAACTTTGACAGTATTAGGCAAGAACTTTCAAAACTTGATTGGAGGCGACGTTTGCAGGTAAAGGGGTGGCTAGAAAATGGAAAGCCTTAAAAATGAGATAACAAGAGTCCAGAAACAGTATGTTCCTGTTAGGGTGAAGGGCAAGGCTGGTAGGTACTGGGAATGCTGGATGACTGGAGAAATTGAGGTTTCAGTTAGGAATAAGAAGGAAGCATATGTCAGGTCTAGACAGCAGAGATCAAGTGAATCCCTAGAAGAGTATAAGGGCAGTAGGAGTATACTTAAGAGGGAAATCAGGAGGGTAAAAAAGAGGACATGAGATTGCTTTTACAAATAGGGATAAGGAGAATCCAAAGGGATTCTGCAAGTACATTAAGAATGAAAAGGGTAACTAGGGAGAGAATAGGGCTCCTTAAAGATCAGCAAGGCCACCTATGTATGGAACTGCAGAAGATGGGGCAGACACAAAATTAGTATTTTGCATCAGTGTTTACAGTGGAGAAGGATATGGAAGATGGAGAACTTGGAAATAAATAGTGACATCTTGAAAAATGTGCATATTACAGAGGAGGAGGTGCTGGAATCTTAAAATGTGTAAAGGTAGATAAATCCCCCGGACCTGATCAGGTGTACCCTAGAACTCTGGGGGAGCTAGGGAAGTCATTGCCTAGCCCTTTGCTGAGATATTTGTATCATAAACAGCCATAGCTGAAAGTCCGTAGGTTGGCTAACGTGGTGCTACTATTTAAGAAAAATGGTAAGGAAAAGTCAGGGAATTATAGACCGGTGAGCCTGACATCGGTGATGGGCACGTTGTTGGAGGGAATCCTGAGGGACAGGATTTACATGTATTTGGAAAGGCAAAGACTGATTAGGGATAGTCAACATGGCTTTGTGCGTGGAAAATCATGTCTCATGAAGTTGATTGAGTTTTTTGAAGAAGTAACGAAGAGGATTGATGAGGGCGGAGTGGTGGACATGATCTCTATGGACTTCAGTAAGGCTTTTGACAAGGTTCCCCATGATAGACTGGTTAGCAAGGTTAAATCACATTGAATACAGGGAGAACTGGTCATTTGGCTCAAAGGTAAAAGAAAGAGGGTGGTGATGGAAAGTTGGCTTTCAGACTGGACCAATGGTGTACCACAAGGATTGGTACTGGGTCCATTGCTTTTCATCACTTATATAAATGATCTGGATGTGAACGTAGGAGGTATGGTTAGTAAGTTTGCAGATGACACCAAAATTGGAGGTGTAGAGGACAGCAAAGAAAGTTACCTCAGAGTACAATGGGATCTTGATCAGATGAGTCAATAGGCCAAGGAGTGACAGACAGAGTTTAATTACAATAAATGTGAGGTGCTGTTTGGGAAGGCAAATCAGAACAGGACTTATACATTTAATAGTAGGGTCCTGGGGAGTGTTGTTGAACAAAGAGACCTTGGAGTACAGGTTCATAGTTCCTTGAAAGTGGAGTCACAGGTAGATAGGATAGTGAAGAAGGCATTTGGTATGTTGCCTTTATTGATCAGTACATTAAGTATGGGAGTTGGGACATCATGTTGTAGCTATACAGGGCATTGGTTAGGCACTATCGGAATACTGTGAGCAATTCTGGCCTCCCTGCAATAGGAAGGATATTGTTAAACTTGAAAGGATTCAGAAAAGATATACAGATTTTGCCAGGGTTGGAAGGTTTAATCGATAGGGGAGAGCTGAATAGACTGGGGCTATTTTCCCTGGAGCATCAGAGGCTGAGGGGTAGACTTGCAGATGTTTATAAAATCATGAGAGCACAGATAGGGTAAATAGACAAGGTCTTTTCCCAGGAATGGGAGAGTCCAAAACAAGAGGACATAGGTTTAAGGTGAGAGGGGAAAGATTTAAAAGGGGATCTAAGGGGAACTTTTTCACACAGAGGGCAGTGCGTGTATGGAATGAGCTGCCAGAGGAAGTGGTGGAGGCTGGTATAATTACAACATTTAAAAGGCATCTGGATGGTTATATGAGTAGAAATGGTTTAGAGGGATATGAGCCAAATGCTGGCAAATGAGACTACGTTTATTTAGGATATCCGGTCGGCATGGATAAGTTGGATCGAAGGGTCTGTTTCCGTGCTATGTATTGCTATGACTCTACGACTGAGTGATGCAGCGGTAGTATCCCTGCATCTGGCCCAGAAGCTCCCGAGGTGGCCTCCTCTACATTGGTGAGACCAAATGGAGGCTCAGAGACCGTTTTGTAGAGCATCTGCACTCTGTTCGCAACAAACGACAACAAATTCCAGTCGCAAACCATTTAACTCGCCCTCCCACTCCCTGGGTGACATGTCCATCCTGGGCCTCCTCCAGTGTCACAATGACACCACCCGCAAACTGGAGGAGTAGCACGTCATTTTCCGCCTCTGGGAGCCTACAGCCCAATGACCTAAACGTGGAATTCACCAGTTTCAAATCTCGCCACCCCGGCCTCATCCCATGACCAACCCTCCCTCTCATCCCCGCCTCCTTTACCTGACACAACCTGTCTATTTTCTCCCCCACCTATCCGCCCCTCACACCTCACTGACCAATCCCCACCACTGCCTACCTGCACTCACCTATCACCAACCCATCTACCTTCCCCATTCCCACCCCTCCTCTCTATTTATTTCTGAGCTCCCATCCCCCTCCCCCATTTCTGAAGAAGGGTCCTGACCTGAAACATCAACATCCCTGCTCCTCTGATACTGCCTGGCCTGCTGTGTTCCTCCAGTTCCACACTTGATTTAAACTTAACTTTTTTTTTAAGGCACAAAATAATTGTGTCTGATCAGATACATGTATAGCACAACCATTGTCCTATCTTAAAACCACTGTTCGAAGGAAGGGTCACTGGACCCAAAACGTTAACTGTGATTTTTTTTCTCCATGGATGCTGTCAGACCTGCTGAGCTTTTCCAGCAACTTCTGTTTTTGTCACTGCTCTGTCTTGTTACTCTTGCTGAGCTAGGATTCTGGAATGCAGATCCAGGGCTGATTTTGTTGAGAAATACCTCTGTTGTATCAATGGGATTTTAATTGCAATATTTTTATATATAGATTGAACACTAATTCAAGGATTTAGCAAATATTAGTGTGTCACTAGGTCAAATATGCAAGGCGATTATTATTTTCTGATTTTCTTTGTATCATTTAGGAATGTTAGTAAAGCTGGAAAACTTGTGCAGAGTTTCATCTTTCAACCGCTCATAATCAAAGGAAATTCCATCCCTTATTTGTATGCTGTAAAGAACAGGAATCAATGGATTCAAGAGATTGCTTCACGGTTTTTAACAATACCTTTTGATATAAATGAAAATGGTAAGAAACTATACAGTACCTGTATTGTTATTTCTGTGTCTTGACGATTTTGTTTGCTTGACAGATACAATGTGAAAAGAACTGTATATATCATTAAAAGGCAACGAGTACACATGGAAAATTTCTTATAAAACGGTGCTCCACTTCAAAAACTGTATCTGGTAGACAGTACTTTATCTAGAAGGGAAAGGACTTCAAATTTCTGTTGATAAGCTTGTATAAATGAGAGTTAATGTTTTCTAGTCACATGAAGTCAAACAGAAAATGGAGCAGAGGTAAAAAATTGTTTCCGGCTTTTTCTTTTGAGCAGCTTTCAAATAATACTGTGTTTATGCTCTGTGTTATGTAGCTACAGGTTTGTTACACCAGGCTTGTCTTCACAATGAGGATGATTTGCTGCAAATTCATGCTTTCATACTTGTCAGTGAACAGAACTCCAGTTGCAATTTTGTTTTGTCTTTTTCTCAATTTACTCTGCAATTTGGGCCCACAGATGGGTCTCAATGCTTCAGCTCCTAACCTTTCTCAGCTGCTGTCCACTAAAGTCTCCTAATCACTCATGCTTCTCCCAAGTTTGTAATTTCTGGTTCATATGCCCATCCAGATGCATTTTAAATGCTGTAATTGTACCAGCCTCCACCACTTCCTCTGGCAGTTTGTTCCATACTCACACCACCATCTGCATGAAAAAGTTGCCCCTTAGCACCCTTTTAAATCTTTCCCCTCTCACCTTAAACCAAGAAGGTTACCTCAGGGTACAACGGAATCTTGATCAGATGAGCCAATGGGTCAAGAAATGGCAGATGGAATTTAATTTAGATAAATGTGAGGTGCTGCATTTTGGGAAGGCAAGTCAGGGCAGGACTTATACATTTAATGGTAAGGTCCTGGGGAGTGTTTGCTGAACAAAGATACCTTGGAGTGCAGGTTCATAGTTCCTTGAAAGTGGAGTTTCAGGTAGATAGGATAGTGAAGAAGCTGTTTGGTATGCATTCCTTTATTGGTCAGTGCATTGAGTATAGGATTTGGGAGGTCATGTTGCAGCTGTACAAGACATTGATTAGGCCACTATTGGAATACTGCATGCAATTCTGGTCTCCCTGCTATAGGAAGGATGTTGTAAAACTGGAAAAGGTTCAGAAAAGATTTACTAGAATGTTGCCAGAGTTGGAGAGTTTGAGAGAGGTTGAATAGACTGAGCCTATTTTACCGGGACCGTCAGAGGCTGAGCGGTGTCCTTATAGAGGTTTATAAAATCACGAGGGGCATGGATAGGGTCAATAGAGAAGGTCTTTTCCCCAGGGTGGGGGAGTCCAAAACTAGAGGGCACAGGTTTAAGATGAGAGGGGAAGGATTTAGAAGGGAACAAGGGGGCAACATTTACATGCAGAGGGCAGTACGTGTATGGAATAAGCCGCCAGAGGAATTAGTGGAGGCTGGTACAATTACAACATTTAAAAGGTATCTGGATGGGTACATGAATAGGAAGGGTTCAGTGGGATATGGGCCAAATGCTGGCAAATGGGACTAGATTTATTTCAGATATATGGTAGGCATGGACAAGTTGGACCAAAGGGTCAGTTTCTGTGCCGTACATCTCCACGACCCTGAGACTCTTCTAACTTCCACCCATTCTCCTTCCACTGACATGAATTTCAGTGTACAAACCCCAATGCAGTAACTTTTGACATTTTCTTTGTGTTGCTTCCTATTATTGACCCATTGTCAGTATTTCCCCGGAGGGACTGCACACCTACTCCCTCTGCTAATGTGGTCTGTTGTCTCCTCCTAGTCTGATTTACTATCTCTCTAGTCTTTGTGATCCATTTTGGGCACACCATCAGAGAAGACAGCAGAGACCTACCAGTTGGGTGTCAGTCTTGGCTAAGTTGTATTGCTATCACCTCAGTAGAAGTTCAAACTCCTCTTTAGAGTTTTAGCACATAATCCAGTTTAAACACTCTGCAGATCTGAGAGGCTGATACATTGTTCTGAGCATCGTATCCAAGATGATGCATTAAATCAAAGCAATGCCTCTCCTATCATCTGGGCATGAAAGATTCCACGATACTATGAAAACAGAAGAGACACTCTCTTTACATCCTGGCCTCCACTAACATCACTGAAAACAACTATCTCATATAACAATCTGAAGCAGTTCCAGAGCTGACAGTCAATTAGATGCACAGATTAAAGTCTGAAGGCAGTGAGATTTATTCATTCACTTCAGTTGGGTTTTTAAGTGCCGTGATGAATAGGCAGTAACATCTACCTCACTTCAATCTCTTGACCCTTTATATAAACCATCAGATCCTGTTTCACTGATATCCAATATCATTATACGAGCCTTATCATTATCCTTATTTTAGCCTTATCCTGCCTGTGCTTACCTTTGCTTTTTTGCTCCTATCAAACCCCTGAAATTAGTTGGATCCATAAAGAGAACATCTTGAGCAAGTATTTCATTTATGCTCATGGCCATTTCTTGTCAACTCCATTTTTAAAGAGGATTGCAAATTCAGGAAGATCTCTAACCAGAAGCACTTGCCCAGGGAGCCTTGGAACTGAACTTAAAGTAATTGCCTGAATTTTGACCATCTATCCTAAATGTGACAGTAGTCTCGGGGGAATCGTTCAAACTGACTTCCTGTTTTGGACACAAAAGTAACGGAGCAGGTCAAAACAACATCAACAAGTTCAGTGATAGTAGGAACTGCAGATGCTGGAGAATCCGAGACAACAAGGTGCAGGGCTGGATGAACACAGCAGGCCAAGCAGCATCATAGGAGCAGAGAGGCTGACGTTTCGGGCC